ACTTTATCCATTTTAGTATTTTTTTTGTTGTAGTACTATTGGTTGAACTCTGTAATTAACACACAGTTATTCTTAGGTGTTTAAATTTTAACTGAAAAGTGATCCCTGTTAAATACAAGAGTGGGAATAAGACAGGGAGGAGATGTACAATTTGGGACATGCTCAATCGGACTTGCTCCAAATGGTAGAGTTAGAAACGTGCCAGGGGATTCCAATACAATCCCATCAAGGTGGCATGTACCAATGCCATCTCACTAGTCCAAGTGATCAATTTCAGTTCACAATTGATCACACTGATAGGTCTGAGTCAAAGGGATCACACAAAGAAGACTAGTGTCTGCTAATACTAACTGATAGAATCAAAAAGGGAGAGAACGATCCAACATGGGAAGCGGGATACACAGCAGACTCATAGAATGGCAGATGTCCTAAATAGCACTCTGGCCTCAGAATCAGCCCTTAAGGCAGTCGGATCTGGCTGAAGAGCCCATGAGAGTAATTTAGGCATGGAAAGCCAAGACACTCTGGGAAAAAAAAAAAAGAAGACCTAAATGAAAGATCTCTGCGAGTGAGATCCCAGTGGAAAGAACGGGGCCATCAAAGAAGGAGGTACCTTTCTCTGAAGGGAAGAGGGAACTTCCACTTTGACTAAGACCCTGTCTGAATAAGATCGAAGTCAGCGAACTGAAAAGGCTTCCATAGCCTTGACAACTCATGACTAGAGCCTAGGGAGATTACTGACACCATAAACAAGAGTGTCAAATTGTTAAGTCAACAACAGGAGTCACTGTGTACTTACTTCTCATGTGGGATCTGTCCTCAATGTGTTGTCCAATGTGAAGTAATGCTATAACTAGTACTGAAACAGTATTTTACACTCTGTGTTTCTGTGTGGGTGCAAACTGATGAAATCTTTACTTAATATATACTGAATCGATCTTCTGTATATAAAGATAATTGAAAATGAATCTTGATGTGAATGGAATGGGATAGGGGGCTTGAGATGGGAGGGGTGAGAGTGGGAGGGAAGTTATGGGGGGGAAGCCATTGTAATCCATAAACTGTACTTTGGAAATTTATATTTACTAAATAAAAGTTAAAAAAAAAAAAGAAAAAGAAAAAAAAAAAACAGAGATATCCGTATCCTTTGTATATACAAAAAGAACTGTTCACTTTCCTTTTTCTGCTTTAGATTTAAAAACCCAACTGTGAAAAATCAACTCTCTTGACTCCAAAACTTAAAAAAAAAAATCAGTGTTTCTGGGGGTATGCATTTCACTGAGCTGTTAAAGTGCCACTTGGAATGCCCACGTAGCAGAGTATCTGGGTTCCAGTCCCAGCTTCACTCCAGATTCAGCTTCCTGCTAATTACACACTAGGAAGCAGGAGATGATGGCTCAACTGGTTTATTCCTGCCACCCATGTAGAAGCACCACTTTGAGTTACTGACTCTTGCTTTTGTCTGGCACAGCCCCAGCCCTCAGGTGCACTTGGAGGAGTGAAATAGTAGATGAGAGCTCTCTGTGTGTCTCTGTGAGAAAACACCACATGGTAATCATACCAAACCCTGTTCCAAAGGAAAGAGGCTCTGTATGGTGGGGGATGGGTGATTAAATCTGGCTTTTATGCAAAGTCGCTTCCAAGATTTTCTTGTGTGTACATCACCTGGAGATCCTGGTGAATGTTGTCTCCAACTGAATGAGTCTGGATGGGGCCTGAGGTCCTGATTTTAAGAAGCTCCCCAGGTGGCCAGTGCCACTGCTCACTTGGCTAATCCTCTGCCTGAGGTGCCAGCACCCCGGGTTCTAGTCCCGGTTGGGGCACCAGATTCTGTCCCGGTTGCTCCTCTTCCAGTCCAGCTCTCTGCTGTGGCCCAGGAAGGCAGTGGAGGATGGCCCAAGTGCTTGGGCCCTGCACCCGCATGGGAGACCAGGAAGAAGCACCTGGCTCCTGGCTTCGGATCGGCGCAGTGCTGGCCATAGCGGCCATTTGGGGAGTGAACCAACAGAAAGGAAGACCTTTCTCTCTGTGTGTGTCTCTCTCTCACTGTCTAACTCTGCCTGTCAAAAAATTAAAAAAAAAAAAAAGAAGCTCCCCAGGATACCAGTGCTGCTGGTCCCAAGAAGCCAAGGCAAGGTCCTAATGCCTTGGGAATGTCAAGGGAGGTAATGGGCTATGCTCAACTCTTGTCCCTTTAGTACTGAGCTCAAAAGAGCATCTCGATTCTGTGCGGCCATTTCTCATTTCATCTACCTGCTTTCCTTTATGTAACAGTAGAATCAGATTCAAGAGTGTCATTGTTATGTAAAGACCCTGACCAAAGGGTTTGTGATGGATCATGAAAGACCTAAAATATAGATGGTAGATACCATGGTTATCTTGATGTTACAGAAAGGGACAACTCCAGCCCAGAGAGGTTGGTTCATACTAGTCAATCTGGAAAAGACTCAAACCCCAGAATCTACTCCATAGAGCAAGCTTTTTTTTTTTTCTGGCAGAGTTAGTGAGAGAGAGAGAGACAGAGAGAAAGGTCTTCCTTCCATTGGTTCACCTCCCAAATGGCCGCTACGGCCAGCACTGCGCTGATCCGAAGCCAGGAGCCAGGTGCTTCCTCCTGGTCTTCCATGCGGGTGCAGGGCCCAAGCACTTGGGCCATCCTCCACTGCCTTCCCAGGCCACAGCAGAGAGCTGGACTGGAAGAGGAGCAACCAGGACTAGAACCCGGAGTACCAGCACCACAGGCAGAGGATTAGCCCAGTGAGCTGCAGCACCGGCCCAGAGAGCAAGCTCTTAACCATTGTTTTCTCCTTTCTGTATTTATGTCACAGGTTTTTCTCCTGCTGTGAAACTACACAAAAAATGACTGTCAGGTGACTGTTGCCTCCCATTCTAATATTAATAAAGCCAAGTCTAAATTTCTATCAAAATGCCTTGATTTCAAGAAAAGGCAATTTAAACTCAAACTGAAAAATCTTCTGGAATTCAGCAAAAAGACCATTTAACATTAGTACCAAGCGTTTTTTCCTTTCAGAATGCAGTATTAATTCATGGAAGTTTATTCTATGCATTTTGGAACTCTAGAACACCACTTTATCAGAACTTTTGCCGTCCTGAACCACCAGAGTAGCAGAAGATTGCATAAGAACCTTCCCTATTAATGGCGAGAAGCTATTCCATTCATGCTCTACACTACAACATCCGCGGTCCAGGCACAAATTCCATAGTTTTCTTAAGTCCTAAAAATGAGTTTACTGTATGTCACCTTTATTATTCTACTAAAGAGAGATCCTAATTCAATGCAGATATCCAATACATGTATGTAACATTCTCAAACATGGCTGCACATGCAACTCTCCAGGGAGCTTTATAACAGGTCACCACTAGGGAGTCTGATAGAACTGGATTGGGGTAGACTGCCAGTCAGGGTTTTTAGAGGCTCCTCAAGAGATTCTAGTGCACTGTGACAGCTGAGAATTGCTGGCATAAAGGAGAACAGAGGGAAGCCTGCCCTTTCACTCTGTTGTCCAAAAAAGAATCAGGGGTTGTCCTCAATCGCTGTTAGAGTTTTGCCTTCCAACATGTCTTCCTAGGTCTAAGACACTACTACACCTTAGTTCCAATTGCAAGCAAGTGAGTCCCTACAACAAGAGACCAGCCACATGGTTCATACCTGGTGTTGGATAGGCAACCCCTGTAGATGTCAGCAGATGGCTCCAAAGTGAGAGTCCCTAACCAGGGGGTGGAAGTTAGGTGGTCTGTGACCTTGAGCGAGGAAAAACTGACAACCACATTTTCACCCATCCTTCACAGAAGTCCAGCACTTTCCTCATGTTTGAGTATAATGTCAATGGACCACAGTAGTGCCAGCGGTTCTTGGGAGTCTGCTGTCCTTAGGTTTGTTTTTTTAATTTTTTTTTATTTGACAGGTAGAGTTATAGACAGTGAGAGAGAGAGAGAGAGAGAGAAAGGTCTTCCTTCCATTGGTTCACCCCCTAATGGTAGCTATGGCCGGCGCTGCACCAATCTGAAGCCAGGAGCCAGGTGCTTCCTCCTGGTCTCCCATGCGGGTGCAGGGCCCAAGCATTTGGGCCATCCTCCACTGCCTTCCCCGGCCACAACAGAGAGCTGGACTGGAAGAGGGGCAGCCGGGGCTAGAACCCGGCACCCATATGGGATGCTGGTGCTGCAGGCGGAGGATTAACCAAGTGAGCCTCGGCGCTGGCCTCTGTCCCTAGGATTTTCATGTTGCACTTTAGTTTGGGCAGTTATCTGAAAGCACCATTTGCAGTAATCACTACTTTGATACTACAATTGTTTACTAGACCTGCAGTGAGATCTCATTATTTTATTTTATTTTTTTTTTGATACAGTAACGACGATACACTTATGTCATTATATCAGGACTTTAGAACTGTACTTTGAGAACTGTATTCCAGTTAAAATGATTCTGACTTAATTGCATTTTATGATTTTAACGTTATCCCATGAAGAGGTCTAAACGCTTCACGGCAGCCCGTGTGCTCCATTATCCAAGAAAGAGCAAGAGCCCTACTGGAAGACTGCGCCCCAGCAGGACAAATGACGCCCATCTACGTCCAAGGCCACCTCCAGGAAGAGCACGCTCAGGAAGGAGACACCCTGGACCAGAGTTGGGTCTCGTTTTCCCCTGCGTTTCCGCAGATAAGATTCAGCCTGAAAAGCTAGCTGAGTTCAGTGGAGAATAGGATGCGCGTTCTCTTTCCCCTCAGCTGCCTCCTGCTCTTGGCATTTTGAGTGCCCCAACTGCCAGGCCGGTAACTCGAGCCTCCAAATTAATCAAAACACACAGCTCCTGGTTCAAGCCCAGGCAGACAAGCCTGGGAGCCAGACAAGCTCTCCTCTGGTGACCCCCAGCCCCGCCCGCCCCCGCTTGGATGAGGCACTTCCTCCACTGCCCAACCCCTGCCCCCACCCCGGCATGGGCTCCGGGCCAGTGATTGCCCAGCCCGTGGGTGCCTTACCTCGGGGAGAACGCCCGCAGCACTGCAACGCCTCCTCTCCCCTCACCGGACACGCACCTCTCGGCTCGGCCTCACCCAGGTCCACCTGCGACCCGGCTGCCTCTTCGTGGCGCTCTCAGGCAAAGTCCGGCTGCAGCAGGTTGGAGCAGGGGAAAGCGGCCCGATGCACCGCCGCGGGAGCTGGAACCGGGCCTCCAGAGTGCAGACGCCAGGCGCGCCTCCCGCTTAATCTGGGCAGGGCCACAGGCCACTCCCTCCACCCCGCGCGGCCACCTCCCCACACCCCCTAAATTCCTCACCTCCGACCTGCGCACTCTCCCACCCCGCCAGGGCCCTGGGATCCTGGGCGCATCACCTCCTTAACCCCTTACCCTGAGTCAGCGCCCACCTGCCCCGCGGGCGCCCAATCCTTTCTCCCTCCTGGGCACTTCTCCCGTAGGGACAGTGCCTGGTGAGCTGGGAGGGAGCGGGGACGAGGGCGGGACCTGAGCCACTTCTTCCCTCCCTTGGAGTTACAAACCAAAACCCTGGATGGGGAGGGACGGACCGCGGGGCTGAGCGCTACAAAACGCGCGCCGGCGAGCTGGCCAGACTAGCTTCACAGCCGGGGCTCCGCAACCGCGCCTCTCGGGGGACGCGGTGGCCCGAGAGCCTGCGGGTCCCGGACACGCTGGGGCTCTGCAATGGCACCCAGCGTGCGCTCCGGGACGGTGCCCAGGTCCCCGGCGCTCCTGCTGCGGCTCCTACTGCTGCTCCCGGCTGCTGCGCCCGCGGCGGCCAAGGTGAGTGCGGGGCTGCGCGATCCTCACCCGGGCGTCCCAGGCCCAGGCCTGCCCCATCCGTGGGGCGCTGTCCTGGAGCCGCTGCCAGGACAGTGGCTCGGCCGTGGGTGCGCGGAGGTCTGGGGAGCTGCCGCTGGAGCGGGAGGGAGTGAAGAGGAGATGCCGGAGCAACAGGTGGAACGCGCCGGGCTGGAAAAAGAGGCGAGGAGAGGGTTGTCCAGTTTCCCAGGAGGAAGGATGGGAGGAAATAGGGCCTCCAGAGGCCAGTAAGTGGATAATCGCCAGGGACGATATTTGAGAACACCGGATATGCGGATGCGGGAGGTCGCGTTGGGGAACCGAGAGGCAGCCAGCCCAGGCCAAGAGCTCAGAGGGCAGGCAGGAGATGCCCTCGGAGTCCCAGCCTTGCCTTTCCCAAGGCCTCTCGCTAAACTTTGACCTTCCAGGCCTCAGTTTCCCCTTATCGAAAATCGTCCTCCAGTGTTCTCTGGGGGCTGTTGGGAAAAGCAAAAGCCAGCAGTGACAGCCTAAGAAGCAGAGCTCTTGTAAGGCTAAGTTAAGCAATCTATAGCTTTGAATTGATTTGTATTTGGAAATCTGGGTTCATTTAAATCCACCCCATGGTTTTCTTCTTTACTGTTAGAGATAAATGGTGTGTCCTGAAAACTGTTAGGCCTGCTGGAGTTGAGTTACTATTTAAACCTGCAAAGGCGAAATTGGACTTCTCAGGTGCCTTGTGTTGTCTTAACACTTAAAAACAATTTGGGTGAAGACATGGTATAGTAAGTTTCATTACCAAGGTTGAGCAGAGGTTTTACAAATTTCATAATTGAGACTATGATTAGAGGTTAATAGTCACAAAAATATTTATATGTTCACATAAGAGTTTTAGAACTTATGGCCATAGGTAATCTAAGTCTTTTCTATTTAATTTTTTTAAAAGATTTATTTGAAAGAGTTACAGGGAAGGAGGGAGAGACAGAGATCTTCCATCTGCTGGTTCGCTCTCCAGATGACCTCAGTGGCCAGGGCTGGGCCAAGCTGAAGCCAGGAGCTTCATTCTGGTCTCCCACACAGATGGCAGAGGCCTCAATAGTTGGGTCGTCTTCCACTGCTTTTCCCAGGCCACTGGCAGGGAGCTGGATAGGAGGTGGAGCAGCCAGGACATGAACCTGCGTTGTCAGTAGAATCCTGGCATCTCAGGTGGTGGCTTTACCAGCCACGCCACAATGTAGACCCCTCTGCTTAAATTTTTAATGAGGTCACTGTAGACATCACAAAAGCTAAAGCCCTGTCAGTGAACACCTCAGACTTCTCCCTATTTCCTTGTCTTCCCAAAACTGCCCAGTCTCTCCACTTTCATATTTCCTTCCATTTTCTATTTATATACATTTTTTACTTTATTTTTATTTATTAATTTTCCAAAGCACAGTGTATGGATTACAATGGCTTCCCCCCATAACTTCCCTCCCACCTGCAACCCTCCCATCTCCCGCTCCCTCTCACATTCCATTCACATCAAGATTCATTTTCAATTATCTTTATATACAGAAGATTGATTTAGTATATATTAAGTAAAGATTTCATCAGTTTGCATCCGCACAGAACATAAAGTGTAAAATACTGTTTGAGTACTACTTATAGCATCAATTCACATTGGATTTATATACATTTTTATGAATCCCCAAACTATGGTTTTTTGCTTATGCTCTTTAACATAATTGATATATCCTTTTGCAACCTACAGATCTGTCCATGTCAGAATTTAAGAGCTACCTCTTTTCCTTCTTATTCTGTTAGGAAACTTTTACAGTATGCCCAAATTAACTGAATGATTCCTCTATCAATTTATATTTACGTTGTCTGGTAGCTCACATTCTAACAGATTTCATAATCTGTGTCATCTCTTTATGTAGCTGGTTCTAACGAAAATATACTTTGTACAGATTAGGAGCTAAATAGTTCTAGGCATGAAGGATAACCTTTGCCTGAATCACCTGCTTTAATCAGGAACCAATAAACCAAAATGCAAAAGACCTGAAGGAGGTATATGTTGTGAGAAGACCAAGATGAGAGTGCCAAAGCAGGGTTTCCACATCTTTCTGACTCAGAGACGAGGAAAAATATTGAGAAAGGGGTGGGGAATTACACCTGGGTAAGGATCAGTCTGAAAAAGCAGAGCTCTGTGCCCACACATCTCTAATTAAGCCATTTTCAGTTCCATTCTTGTATTCCCTTATTAATTTTACACGTAACATTTTCTGAATTGAGGGACCAAATCTTGGTGACTTCCTGCTAATATGATAAATACTTCTATTTATTTTGTTTTGATCATCACTTGAAGTCAGTCTTTGTTAAAAGGTTTAATGATTATAATTTCCATTGTAGCTGCTGTATTAAGTAGAAACCATGTCATTAAAATGTGAAATATGCCTTCATCTTGTAGCAAAAAGGAATCACAAATTAACTGATCATTACATGAGCCCAAATGACACCCTCCCCAGAATATCTCTGATACTATGCAAGACAGTTGACCACACTGTGCCTCAAGTTTTCTCATCTGTGAAATGGGTGCCTTGAAATCCCTTCAGGGGTGAGCAGACGAGGCAGTCAGTGTGTGAGCCAGTGGGATCAGGGCAAATTTCAGGACCAATTGGTTGTTGGTATTCTAGAGTTAAGGCCCAATTATTCCAGAATCACTTTAGGAAAGAGACTGGGAGTCTAGTTTTTAGTAAAAACATTTCAAATTCTAAATATTGTCAATGAAGTCAACACTTTACAAAAAATATAGTGTGGGCCAAACAATGTATAAGTGAGAGGCATATTTAACATTTGGGCCATCATCTTTAAACTCTTTGTGAGTCACTAGTAAGGAGGTATTTTGCAAATATCTCAAAATGGAGAGATAGTAGTGGTGTTTACCCTTCAGCCAGAGTTTAGTCAGGTGGAACTGCCTGCCCACACAGTTTGTGCGGCAGAAACACCTGCAGTGAAATTCCTGAGCCACTTTGCACTGGCAGCAGTTCTAGGTCTGGCTGGTCAGAGCCTCCTTGAGGCTGGGAGGCATTTGCTGTCATCCCAGGTGATAGAACTGGTAAGGAAGCTGTAGAGAGTTCTTCTTTGATCTCTGTAAGGGGTGAGGTTCTCCTATTAAGCTATCATGGTTCATCCTTCAGCCTTTTGCCTGAAAATTCCAAACTGTGTAGAATTATGATTAGAAGCGAATACCAAAAGCTGAAAAGTAGCTATATTTAGGGAGAATGCTTTCTCACCTGAGTTCATTTTTAGATTTAAAGATTAACCTGAATTAGGAAACATTAAAAAAAAATAATGTGATAGACATCAGTTTTATCAATCCCTAAGATTATGCAAATGTTAATAAACTTTGACCTGTTTGTTCTCAAATCTTTTTAGAAAAAATATAAATACAGCAAATCATATTTATATTCTTTATTCTTTCCCTCCCAGGCAGTATATGTATACCATTCCCCTTGCATGCTTTCGTGTGTGTGTGTGTGTGTGTGTAGATCCCACAAAAATAAATGATTGTTTTCCTGTCTTTCAAATGTAATAAGTGCACATTATTCCTACCTATTGGTGCTTACTATTTATCCATGTGGATACAATATAGATGTGATTGTTTGCAGTAATAGCTATTGCATAGTATCCAGATGTGTAAATCAGTCTATTTTTGCACCCCCCCCCCAAGAATGTCTTTACATTTCCATTATCAAGTTGCAATGCATATTTTTGCATACATACAATTGTAACAACTAGAATTTGAATTGCTAGGTGGTTTGTAGAGAATACATATTTTAATTTATTAAGGCTTGTCAAGTTGATCTACAAAAAGGTAGTGCCAACAAAAAACCAGAATACCTATTTCTGCATATTCTTGGCAAGAATATGGTTGGATGTTAATGGGTGTGAAGTAACATCTTATTTTGACTTGTGAGTGTATGAAGCTTTCCATATTTTAATTGGCCATTTGCATTGCCCTCAGTGTAAACTGCATGTACAACTTTCTGCCTATTTATCTATTAGGGATGTAATTACTTAAGATGCTAATTAATTAGAAGTTTTATATATTTAGATGTTTTGGTCAGATTATAACTAAAATTTTATGCAAATCTTTGGTTTATCTTTTCATTTAGTTGTTGGCACCATAATGTAAAACACTTTTTTCTTTATGATCTCAAATTTATTCATCTTTTTTTTGATATTTTGTCTTTTGTTGAAGAAATCCTCTCCTTTCCGGGGATTATAAAAGTGTTCTATGTATCTTTTTTTTTAAGTTTCACAGCTTAACTCTTTTACATTTAAGTCTTTTTTTATTCTTAATTTTCTATCCATGGAATTTCTCATTTTTCACATAGATAAGTAAAAGTCCCAATGTTCCTTATCAAACATTGCACTCTTTCCCTCACTGTTTTGTAGTGTTATATCTGCAACCAGGGACACCAGCCTCAATAACTGGGCCATCCATTTCTGTTGTTTATAAATTACCCAGACTAAGGTCTTTGGTTAGAGCAGCCTGAAGGGACTAAGACAGGTACCAAGGATTCTTCCTTTCGTGTGCCGCACCTCGTCATCCTCCAGCCCCTCCACTGCTGCTCACATTCTCCATACATTACCTCTCTTTCTGGTTAGGCCAGGATCAAAATCAGTGGCAGCAAAGCCACCAGCTCCCTCCCAATGACCAAACTACAGGTCTTCTTTCTTGAGTATTTCTGAGGTTGGAGTAGCTGTTGCCATGCATAAACACTTGAAAGGCTGCGAATTACATTAGAGTTATCTTTGTAGTTCCTTTCTAGTCTCTGCTCTATTATCCAGAATAATGGATGCCCCGTGTTAGCTATGAGCAACTTTGTTACATGATGCAATGGATTAAAACATTCAAACCTTCAGGGTGTGATCCTGGCAACAGGATCGTGTGATCTGGCAAGGTCTTGCCATCCTTGGTCTGTATGAAGTTGATATTTGTGCTGGGGCCTTCAGTC